ACTTCACTAAATGTGAAGACTAATTAGCTATTATTAATTTACAAATCAATTAATAATAGCTAATTAGACATATTTAGTGAAGTCATAGATATTTAACACTTTTATCGTATAACATAAATTTAACTTACTATTTCACAATACTTTTTGTCTTCGATTTCGCCCATGCAACAATAATTGATTAGGAAGGATGTTTTGTATACTCAATAGCTTACTCAGTTATCTACGCCCATTTTTAAACATTTCTTGCAATTTAATGTAAAATTTTATATGTATTATTAAGGGATTCATTCGTTTCATAAAATAATATTATATTATTTGTAACAAAACTTACTGTAAATGCCAATAAAATATTTAAAAACATGTTTACAATATAACAAACTATTAATTAATAAATTCCCTGCAATATTACATAATCAGTCTACATAATTTGTATAAGAAATTGATGTATCTTAAATTGCTTTCAGAGAAACTCGTAAATAAAATGCTGCAATTCTTTTGATTTAAAAGCACACATTCCCTTGAGAATACTAAAAGATTTAACTAGTCATTCCTGCGACTTTGTCTGCGTGTAGTTGTAGATCGACATCTATTGATTAAATGATAACAATAAATAAGATATATCTATGCGAGTCCTAGTTTTTTATATAAACTATTATATTATAAATAGAATATAAATAGAAATGGAAAAGTTTGTGAGTTTGTCAGATGGTAGGGGTTAATATCTGGATTTGCTGAACAGATTTTGAAAATAATTTTACAAATAGAAAGCTACGGTATTTGTGTCATAGGCTATACATTAACATAAGACTTTCATGCTACTTGATGTTTATTACTTAGCGAAGTAGGCACGAGTCAGCTAATAAAATAGTTGATATAGTTTATAGAATTAATTATTTTCGAAAAAATAAAATAAAAAGAAATATTTTCATTTCTCAGTTTTCTTAACCTGAATGTTGACCCATATGTAACTGTATTGAAGTGAAACTGAAATTATGTACATTATAAGAGGCATGACGTTCGATAGAATGGCAACGTATGAGTGATATCACGAAAGTCATATGATAGTGTGATGTTTTAATGATGTCCCTGTATACATACAATATTATATTATATATATCCTTACAGTACTATAAATGCGAAAGTAACTCTGTCTGTATTGCTTTCACGCCAAAAGTACTGAACCGATTTAAATGAAATTTGATAAAAGGGTTGAAAGGGGTGATGACAAGTTATATGGAATTATCGTCATTTCTAAAGCCATAAGCTTGAAACTTATTTTTCAGACTGTTGATCAAATATAAATTAATATAATAATCAAAGTTTGTTATAATATTACCCTTAAGGGTAGTAAAACAAACTAGGGGATGGATTTTCATATGTACATACTGTATGAAAATTCGTCATTTATGAAGCTGAAATTATGTAAAATTAGTACAATTTACATAATTCCTTAATTACAATTTTGTCTTCTTAGATTTTCTTCGTATGGTCAAGGTCACTATTCTACGCGGACGAAGTCGCGCGCACAGCATTATCTATGCATATAAATAAAATTGGAGTGTCTGTTTGTAATATTGAAATAACCGTTTTTTACTACATGCATATGAATATAAATACGGTACATACACCAAAATAATATTTTTTACTATTTTTGTCTGTCTGTCTGTTTGTTTGTTCCGGCTAATTGCTGAAATGGCTGGACCGATTTTGCCGGGACTTTTTTGGCAGGTAGCTGTGTAATAAGGAGTAACTCAGGCTACTTTTATTTTAGAAAAATAAAGTTAAATTCCACGCGGACGGAGCTACGGGAACAGCTAGTATATATATATATATATAAATTAATGGTTACCGCTTATCACAAGAGTCGTCATTCTAGTGTGTATATATATATATATACATAAAAAGATAGGGTTCATTCCTTCCTTAATCACGACTTTACAATTTCATTATACGCAGAATCACGTCACCGCTTCTCGGAACCCAATCGAGTTTTCTACAGAACCCTCCGCTTCAGTTGTATAACATTAGAATTGCTGATACATATTACGGACATCCAACGCTAGTATATCATTTTCTGCAAGTTTATGGAAAATTCAGTTTAATAATGTAATAGAATATTTTAAAATATGAATATGTTTACAATTGGCTAATCGCTGTTGACAGCATATATGTGATATGTATATGCGATGTAACGTGAGTGCCGGCTTACAGTGTGTAGGCACGTGTGATGCCATGCTTTTTGTTGTAAGGGTTTTCACACACCGCCACATAGCAAATATACGTTTTATATGTTAGTATTCCATAAATTCCGTCACATTTTTTAGGGAAGGGAGAGGGTTGAGAAAGTGAGACATTCTGTGACAAAGGGTTGGTCACATAATTTAGGACTCACCTAAATTATGTGACGTTGCATTTCAAAATATACACATGTATTAAAATATGCTGTTTTAATTTAATGATTTATAGGTAGTATGTAAAATATTTTTGTTCTCAATTATGCAAATAGTACACTATTTTTTTTTTATTTAAATTCTATAGTCGATTAGAATATTAAAGCTTTTAATGGCCAGTGATATATTTAACACTGTGGGTTAAAGAGGTTAACTACAATGCTAGCTACCATGTTCTAGTTTTGAATTTAGAATATAGATAGTCTGTACAGATACTAGATGACCCGGCGAACTTCGTATCACCTAGAATATATTTTATTATAATTTATCATTTATATATATTAATAATGAACACTATAAAGCAATACTTGATTGCTTTAATAAGAACTCAAATATGAATTATTGTTTAAAAATTTTAAACATTCTGACAGGCACGGTTGTCTAGCGGTTTAGCACATCGCTTTACTTCCGATGGTTGGGGGTGCGATTCCTCGCAGGGTGGAAATTGTATTCATGAGTATGATTGTTTGTATCGGTCTGGGTATTTTCTATGTATATTATGTATATACTTACAAAAAAAAATCGATATTAAAGTATTTATATCAGTTGTCTAGTACCCATAACACAAGCTCAGCTTACCGTGAGACTAGATGGCGCTGTAAAAAAATATTGTCTGGTATTGCTACACATGAGTGGTATCGTAAGCATCACATGATAACGTGATATTCGTAGTACTGTCCATTTATTCATGTCCATACTTGCTATCAGATGGCTCAGTAGTTTTTTAGTCGTTCCGATTAAATTATGTATTAAAAAAAAACTAAAAATAATAGATAGAACAAATACTATCTTTACTTACAAACTTTTTGTTATTTAATTTTTAAGATTTACTTTATTACAGCATTTTATATTAAAGAATGTAAATCAGATATAATAAAAATATATACATAATAACTTTTATTATCAGTTATATGTGTATGAAATTATATATAAATGAGCTATTTTAAAATCATAGACAAGAAACGGCACAGAGCAGAAGTATAATTTTCCACCCTGGTGCGTAATTTGTAGATACTAGCCGATGCCCGCTATTTCGTCTACGTAGAATTATATATCGAGAAGTCTATTTTTAATCAATTGGCCATACAAACTTTCATCATCTATTTTACTTAAAATTCTCTTTCGTTTTCGCGATAAAAATAGTATATAATATCCTTAGTTATGATCCGATATATTTCTATTTTATAATAGGTCAAAATTGATACTTAGTACTTTACGCCGTAAAAGGTAACAAACAGACTGATGTTTACTGTCGTGTTTATAGTGTTAGTATGGATGATTTTCACATTTGAACATAAATTATGAACAGCGAAGTGATACGAGCAATTAGTTTTCTTTGGCTTGAGGCCAGAGAACGTAAATTGACATTAAATTAGTATAAATAAACAAAGATATAATTTCATTGCCATTTCTTCACAATCTACGTTGATTACGACAATTTAAGTACTAGTTTACAAAATGATCTGAAATGTCGATAAAGGATTAAGATGTATTTAATCAGGTCTCGTTCTACGTTACTGTATTACGTTTAACAATAATATAACGTTATTTTTCACTAGATCTTACTCGTAACTTCGTCTGCACAAATTTCCATCCCGTGTAACACTCCTTATAAGATTATTTTCGAGAAAATAGATATCTATTTAACAAATCTAATGAAATTAAATAATACTAACATACGCGATAGAATGTTACGAAACTTTTATAAACAGTCGTGCAATTTACCAATCACCGTAGGGGCGAACCTATCACCGTCTCTTGGATAAAATTGGTTCATAGCTGATAGTTAATCAGAAGTATAAACTGACACAATTTTTTTTTTGTTGTGAAAGTTCAGAGTCTCTTCTGTATTCCAATCTTTTTCTTTCAATTCAATTTAATTTTAATCCTATCGAATTTAGTAATATCCATTCAGAATGAAATTTAGACTAAATCGTATAAATCCATAATAATGTAGGTTTGATCTTTAATTGAACACGAAATATGAAATGGTCGGGATTTTGAACTTCCCAATTAGATACGAACTTCTTAGCATTCCATGGATTCAGTATGCGGTAAACAGGCAGCTTCTATCTATTCTATCGTGTAGCAAAGAGAGAAACTCCGAGCAGTTCCCGGGCCTTGTGACTAGAGTGTAGGTTTAAGGTGTCTCTTGCTTGTGTTCCTCTCCCTGTCCAACACAATTACTAAGCCTGCTAGTGCAACTCTAGAGACACGTCCTAGTATAGAACTTACTGCAGTTATTAACAGGGTAAGACCTTTCAGATATACCTCTTGAGTCCACTTCGACCGCATTTAAATTAACCACACTTCCATTTTGAAAGAATTCGTTCATTAGTTCGTAATATTTATAAATATCTATTCGTTTTTATTGAATGATCTTTAGGTATATAGTGAGCTCTACAAATATTATACATTTAATTTTCAAAAATAATGATTTTATTATTATAATTCATTGACAGATCATGTACTAAGAGCCTTTTGCATACAAATTAGTGAGTGTCAATTGTATATGTAAATCCATGATCATACATATGTTTTCTGTTGCAGTGTTTGGAGATTCTATCAATAAGTCAAATAAGGAGTTCAAGCCGTCCTGTGTGCAAGCACTTTTGGCTCACCTGAATGGATTCCTTATCACCACTACCTACAAAGGCATAGTGGTTGTTGCCTCAAAGAACGTGCAACGCTATCTCGGATATACTGAGGTAAGAAACTAGTAAAAAAAGTACCCATAAAATGTTAGGAGCATGCTCTGTAGGTTGCAGATACTAAATGTATATAGTATTAGGAGCGGACTATAGGTTGCAGATAATAAATATGTTTAAATTTTGAGGTTATTTTTTGGAATTTTGCTATTGAAGGTGCCAAGTCTCCGTGGTTGCATATACCAATGTTGGGAGCGAGGACTAAATCTCCGTTTGCTTATTACAGTTAGCCTATGTGTTATTCTGATATATAAGCTATATTATTGTAAAATTTTGATTAAAATCCATTCCGTAGTTTTTGCGTAAAAGTGTAACAAACATCCACCCATCCATAGTCACAAACTTTCGCGTTTCTAATATTAAGTTAAAGACCCTGTATAACTGACGCAGAGCCTTCTAGTCCCATGCCAAACAGAGCTTATTTTATGGGTACAAGACAACATATAGAAATATCTACTAACATCCTTTTATGAGTACAATCAGTCATATTATTAAATTTGCGTTGAATCAAAGCCTCGACTATCGGAAGTGACGCGTTGTACTAAACCACTACCAGGCCACTGAAGTCCTCGTAATATACGTAGGTATCTACCTAATGGTTTTATTGGGAGCTCATCACAACGTCTGGCGTATCAATCTAGTCTGCGCTCTATTAGGAACTTTGATTACGAATTTATGAGCTCAATCGACCTAGTTGACCCCTAGACGATCTACAAATGTATAATTACGTATAAATTGGCCACGTCAAAACAGGAGTGATAGTAGTTTATATTTAGATTACCATAGACATGAGAGAAGAAGTATATGAAATGACAAAATATTATACCAATTAAAACCATGTAATTTTAAAAAAATTGGAGCTATAAATCAAATGCGACGTAGGGGCGTTACTGGGGTATGGGTACACAGGTAGGTGTATACTTGCTAAGATAATACAATCAGGGAAGATTGTGTTAGCAGTTGCATCGTCAGGAATTGCTGCAACTCTCTTAAAGGATGGAAAAACTGATCATTCTGCATATAAACTTCCGCTATCCGTAAATCTTGAGCAACAATCTTCATGTTATATCCAGTTTGTTTATAATGTTTGTAATGTCAGTAATGTTTAGGATATATAACGTCCCACTACTGAACACGGATCTTTAAACGCGCGATTACCTATATATTCTATGACCAGGCAGGCGAAGCCGCGGGCAGATAGCTAGTTTGTTATATTTATTTACCATACCAGAACAATCTGCTTGTACATCAATGTTATTTTAAACTTTTTTTTAGAATTATTTATGCCCTTACACCTTATATTGAATACTTACTTAGAATCATGGTATTGTATTTAACTTTACTGATATACCCGTGATCAAATTGGTAATAACAAAAATGATCCTATATGTGGGTACATGATGTAATATATTATTTTATAAACATTTGACATATCATAGAACCTGTCATAGACCTTAGAATAGATACTTACAAGATATTTTGATTTTTATTTGATTTGATAATAAACTTTATTTTACTTCTAATTTTATGCAGCTCGAGTTATTGGGCCACAATATTTTAAACATCGTACACGAAGATGATCGTGAATTGATGAAGGAACAGATTATGCCTCAGCCTCATATGCTGGGCATCAATGGAGAACTGCTGGTGCCAAACGAGCCGAACGCAAGTCAAAAGATTGCTGAAGCACTGGCTAGCGATAAGAGAAGATTCATGGTCAGGTAAATATTATATAGATGTAATTAAAAAAACACAGTCAATATGAAAGCTAGTAAAAATACCTTTAAAACAAGGGAAACAACAAAAGTGTGCCTAAAATAAATAATATAATTTAAAGAAAATATACAGCAGTTGCTCCTGATGATCATGATTCTTTTGACAATCGACAATCAATTTGAAAGAAAATAATAAAATATTTACATATCCTATGTGGTTGTAGCCCACTCATGCATAAACGTAATATCTCCTATGGAAAGTTTACACTCTATCCTGAGGAGATAAAAACCGTCGCTCTTAAGAATATCCTTCAATTCTTGTCACTGATGGGTCTAGGTAGCGTACTCTGAAATAGGGCGAGCACGATAGATCTATAGATAGTATGTCGTAGTGCTACAGGTCCAAGCACCTGCAATAGCCCAAATAGCCTAACAAAAAACATCCAGGTGTATACACAATTCGAAAATGGGTATTAGTACCGGTGCTAATAATTTTACGATTTCTGAACTGTAAAGATAATCCCAATTGCGCAACTTTATGTTTGTTTTTTATAATTCTGTAGATTCAAGAAATTAAGCCAGCGTTCTGAGCCGAGCCAGTACATAACGTGTCACGTGGAAGGTTCACTCCGGAAGGCAGATTCAGCGTGTCGTGGATACAATCGCTGTTGTCAAATGGTCCGGCGTGCACGTTCTCGATGTGACAACTCTGGCTCCAGTGGCAATGACGTAGTAAGTAATCGTTACCCATAATAATTATTGATATACGATGTAGCAAAAATAGGCAAGAGAAGAAAGAGAATACTGGATACGACTGTATCAAGCAGTGGAAGTGGAATCATGACAAATTCTTGGAGTAATTGTCAAGATGGGCTAATTGATCTGAATTTATGCTTATCAATCTCCACTGGTACTGCCAGCGTAACCGTTAGCACAGGCGGGTGTATCATTATATAATCATCCATAAAAAAACGCATCAATCAGATTAAGGAAAAGTTGTAGTCTTGTCGTATCAACAACTAAAGAGATTAATGGAAAATGGCAAGTGCTTCACCAACAAAAGCGCGGCTCTTAAATTATGAGTCATTTACAGATGTTGATGTATGGTACATATCAACGAATAAACAGTTGAAAGGATAGGATAAACGGCATGACATCTTAGATCTCAGGAATAGTAATACAGAAGTGGTAACGCCGATGCCATATGATAACGTGATGACTGTATTGTACATTTATATAGGCGACGGCGACCACTTACCATCAGGTGGACCGTCAGCTTGTTTACCATTCCACTAACGCAAAGGGTAAGGTAAACAAAGGAAATTAGATTTTTTTATAACTTTAAAACTAACCGAATCGCAGGTTTTCTTCTTTACTTTCCATACATAAATAATGCTACTGTTATACCTAAATATTTTATCAGTAAGTTTGAAGCTTGTAAATGTAATATTTATATCAGAAGTTAACAAAAACGAGCAAATATAAATTTCACGCTTCTGAAAAATAAAACAACGCCGGATACTTGCCATCTCGTATTCTGTTTGTCATATACTTAATATTCTTTATTTAAATCACACAAACAGAACTGCAGTCACCAGTTCAAAACATTGACGAAATCATTTGTCATCAATGATCGTCCTATAGTAATTGTGATTATTTTATTCCTATCAATATCCAAAGGTACGAAACAAATAATACTGCACGCAATGTTTTTTATGTGAGTTGTGGCAAGAAAACGACATGACAGAAAATTACAAAATAAATAACCCTGGCTATTAACACCCCAGCGCCATCTAGTCCCACGGTAAGCAGAGCTTATGTTAAGGGACAACTGATACAAATACATAGATATTTTTTTTGTAAATACATACTTAATGTACGTAGAAAACCCTGGCCGATACAAACAATCATACTCGTGTATACTAAATTTTAGTGCCGTGCGAGGAATAGAAGTCGTGACCATCGAAAGCAAAACGGTGTGCTAAACCGCTAGACCACAGCGGCCGCCTATGTGAAGTGTGTGGTATTACATACCCTTACTGATGATCTGTATTATTCTTTTGTATTAGAATAGAATAGAAAATCATTTATTCAAATAAACTTACATTGAAGCACTTTTGAATAGTCATTACATTTTTTAATCTACCGCTCGTTCGGAAAGCTGTCTCATCACAAGAAGAACGAGCAAGAAACTTGCGTGTTGCTCTTTTAAATAATTTCATTATTACTTTACATTTTTAAGTTGAAGTGTGTGAATACAAACCACCAATTAGCACTAATTCAATTAAATACTCAAATAGAAAAAATATTGAATATATAACCAACTGGTTAAACAATTAATAAGAGGAAATCAGTCATAGTGATTAGAGCAGACCAGTCCCTAAAAGCACTATTCTAATGCAATATGTCCATACATTTTGAATTTATTTTAATGTATTAAAATCTTTATGTAATCATTCGCAGGTGTTCGTAGGTGTCGTGCGTCCGGCGAGCGACACTTTTATAACCGAGAGTGAAATGGAATCGTTCAGTATGGAGTACCGTACCAGACATTCGATCGACGGGCAGATAATACAATGTGAGCAGCGCATTGCCCTCGTGACAGGGTACATGACGCACGAAGTGTACGGCGTGAATGCAATGAACTTCATGCATCGGGATGACGTCCGCTGGGTGATCATCGCACTCAGAGAGAGTAAGCAGTTATCATTTTTTACTATGTATAGAAAATTTATATTCTCTACCAAACAACTGTTACTCAGAACCGATATAACAGAACAGAACGAATAAAAAATATAGAAATGCATGATTGTAGATTTATTGTAGATTATTTATTATTTTTGATTATTTTGTTACAAATTACTTAGAAAATTAGATTTAACTTAAGATTGACTGATATATGTATTATAGTATTATACAAATTTGTAACAATACTACTACACACAGAGAATTATATGCACATTGTTGGGATGACAGTCTCTACTAAACAACTGTTACTCAGAACCGAAATAATAGAACAGAATGAATGAAAAATATAGAAATACGAGGCGATGCATGATTGTAAATTAAATTGTATTTTATTTTATAAGAATATGATGGATAAATCGTTTAATTGTTTTTTTTTTACAAATTACACTTCTGTAATATATACAACTTTATGAAATTAGATGTAACTTAAGATGGACTGATTGATAGTACAAATCGTGTATGGAACTTATTTTTTAATCATTACTTGACTGTACTGATTTTCAGTTTCAATCGATTTGAGGGTAGTGATCAATGTGGCCTGTCTATCCATAATACGTTGAGTTTCGGTTTAAAGTATTCCCAGAGAACTGGGAACGTACTTGTTAGTGGTTTCTTCCATATAGGCTATGCTCTTCTGTAAGAAAGAGTAGTAAAGTGGAAGAAATCCTTCATTTGGGATAATTCCGCCATTGTACAATTTTAACATCGATGTATCAAAAAAAATAAAAACATTGCATTTTATTATATATATTTTCTACAATCAGTATTGATAAACTTGCCGATGGGAATAGTTCAGTCACACGGGAATTTATGATCAGAATATAAACAAACGATTGTCATATCATCACCTATAATAATATTATCATAATCACATATTATTAATATAATAGTATCTAATGTTTGTTTGTTTGTTTTTCAACGTGAAATTTAATTAATATAGATAGACGCAAGACGAACGAATGTAAAAATACCTTTTTACATATGTTTTTGAAGAACAATAATAGTTTTTAATATTATTCAAAAGCATCGCACCGGGTGAAGATAGCGTAGGTATATGTAATAACTTTAAGTGAAATCCACAGTGAGGAGGTTGATCGTAAGACTTTTCTTGGTGCAAAATCCACTATGGAAATTGTGTAGAAACATACGTGTCTAAACGCGCCATCGGTAGGTATCCTATTCTCTCCATCATTTCCTATGGCGTCTATTTACGCGAATAAATAATTTTATTAATGATAAATATAACCAAACTGCATTGCGATTTATATTAGGGACAGCTGGCGTAGGTACATCTATATTTTTAAATGCATGAATATAGTATTATATGCTGGCGATATAATGCAGGATGGAGTCACGTCAGTTAGCCTGTTACCATGATAGTTTCCAGGGGCAACCGCGTAGAAGTCGACCTGACGTGACCTATAAGGATATTTCGGTTTTGTTGTATTTTTAACTATCAGTACAAGGTTTTGAAAAATGTATGATTTTTCAAAAAAACGTTAATGTTAACGAAAAAATGAAAAGGTTTGGTAATAAAATATACCTAAACTTTCAATTGTTTAGTTTCTTTTTATTGAGTAAAGAAAAGATTTGGTCTCATTTTCTACATAAAATAGCAGTGCGAATATTAAAATGACCGCAAAACTGAATGCAAAATATTGCTCGTTTAACATTTATCCTCTTATACATATATAGGTATATCCTTTACTTAGTACTATTGCTCGTCAATATTTTTTGAGATAAAACAAAATATCTATTCAACCGTTTAGTTGTGAAAAGCAAACAAACAGACAGACACTCGTATTTTTAATATGCATTACAATGCTTCTATTGTACCTACTTAAATTTAATAATTAAATGTACAAATTAAAATAATTGATGTCGGCCATTTTTTATTTAATTATTTTTTCTATGCGTGATGTTAAGAAATTATCACAGGCGTCAAATTAAACGTGATATCCATTTTTGTATAAAGGTTTTTGAACCCTCACTCAGTTACGAAATGCTTAAGCGACTTTAATTTTTGTGTATACTAACAAAAAATAATGCGATCATGTTGCAATTAAAATTATGTATAGGTATTAAAAACTTATAATTGTACAGAAATAGGCATAATTCTATACTCTGCTTCTGCGCATTTCGTAATCTAGTTTTGAATTTCTACCTATTTATATTAATTAGTGTAATCGATATTAATGAAATAAGAGAGCATTACTATGCTTTATTGTATTATTTTGCGACATACACATAATTAAATTAAAATTTGATATTAAAATAAATTTTGATGATGATTAATTAAGCTGAAACTGCTAAATGAATATAACATGTACAGTCATATTCATATATGATAATCAATATATAAAATTCGTGATCTAAGTTTTTAAAATGTATCAAATACATCTTGAAGTTGTAGTCTCGGGTAGTTATACAGCTATCGAGCGGCTCACCGCTTTTATTTTAATTATCTGTGGCGATTACCTTTTACGCGGGAAAATAAAAATATATTGGTACCTTATTTAGTCAGATGGTTTTCTGCATTAGTTTGAAATATTTTTTTTTAAGAAATTGTTATAAATAATATACTATTTGCAGATATTTTGAGGTTATTAATATTGATTCTAACATGCATAGATTAAATATTTACCTACGCAAGAACTGATTAGCAACAAGAAATATTGTTATATATTTCAAGTAAATATATCAGGGGCAAGATAGGTGAGTTAGTACAGTCTAACGATAACATCATTATATACTTACCTATCTACTACATATACCTATATAGCATATATTATATCAAACGTACTCGTCGATAGGCAAAACAAATGAAATAGTAGAAAGTGGTTACATAAATTCACATGATAAACAAGACTCAGTTCATGCAAATGTATGTAAATATATAATAACTAGCTATCCCGGCAAACGTTATTTTGCCATATAAATTAATAACGCTATAAAAAATAGGGGTTGGTGATAGAAGCTAAAGTTGTATGTATTTTTAATGACACATAATAAAAAAATTAAAATAAAAATTTTGCCCAAAAAATAATGTTAGAGGTGGCAGAGCAGATTCTCAGACCCACTGAATATGCATAAAAAATTTCATAGAAATCGGTCAATCCGTTTCCGAGGAGTATGGTAACTAACATTGTGACACGATAATTTTATATATAAGAATTCTTTAGACCCATTACGTAAATTATAATAATGCTTGTCGTTATATTCCCTCAACCCAGGGTTAGTAGTGACTTAGTCATTTATAACAAGTCCTTATCATAACACTTGCGCATGAATCTAACAATAAATAATGAATTGCCTAACAGTGCTGTACACTGGTAACACTATAATAGCACGGTGATTATCACCTCACTACTGGCGCGTTATATATGATGTGATGAGGTATTGCTACATGAAGTTAAGAGTCTCAAGTGTTAACAGATGTTTTACAAGTATAGGCATACTATGTTTTGTAATAGTAGACCCCAAGCTTTATGAGACTGATAGTAAATTTCAGAGTACATTTTTTTTATACCACTTAGGTGGCAAACAAGCATACGGCCCATCTGATGGTAAACGGTTACCGTAGCCTATGGACGCCTGAAACACCAGGGGTGTCACATACGCGTTGCCGACCCTTAAGAAACCTTAATATACCCTTCTTGAAAAACCCCATGCTGTAGTCTCTCGAGAAAACCTCGGCACGTAGTTCATTCCACAATCTACACATTGTACACATGTTTTGTTTTACACATGTAAAAATGACAGTTTTACAATTTAGTTTTAATTGTAGCGGGTTTGCATATGCGGACGTGGCCTTCAAAAAGAATTTATACAAATAATTGCTTGTCAATATACTAAACAAATGTTATACGGATTGACAGAGAAATTATTTTGTTAGAAGTAACGCCTTTACATAGCAACCATAATTATTTACTAATGTAAATAATATAGAAAATAAGTAAAGACACGTTATAATACACTTAGGATTTCCTATGTGTTAAGGAAATCCTAAGTGTTAAATAACATCATCTGCTTCTTCCTTATCCCATTTATTTGGGGTCGGCGTAATATGTTTTTCGCTTCCATTCATCCCTGTTCGCAGTCATCGCGTTATTTACTTCCTTTCGTACCATATCATCTTTTACACAGTCCATCCATCTCTTTTTCGGCCTTCCTCTGCCCTTATAATTCCTACGCATTACACGTCCATACCATGGTAGTCGATTACTCTTCAACCTCTCTGACACCGGTGCCACTTTCATACTTCCCTAAGTGTTAAATAACGTACATATATTTTTTTTGCTGAGTTTATTCGAATCCAATATTGCAAAGGACGATTTTAGCTTTTTACAGATAATGCTCACTCAAATAATGCACACACAACTAATAAAATTCATATTACACTATGAGTTTCAGAATACAGAATACTAACTCGTATAGTATCTTGTATGCGATTTAATAAACGGTTTTGTTTTAAGACCGCCAAATAAAAATTGGAAATAAGATAAACAAACGCCTGATTCTCGCTGTGCTACTATTTGATGCGATATATTTAGTGTGTTATTAATGTTTTCCATCACCGGAAAGTTAGTAGAAAATGTAAGTTGACACACAGTTTTTGTTGTCAGCTAAATTCGAACTTATAACCTTTGAGATAAAAGTAATTTTTACTAATTTTGCCCACCTAATTACTTAATTGATGGCCTCGATGGTCTAGCGGTTTAGCACACCGCTTTACTTCCGATGATCGTGGGTTCGATTCCTTGCATGGTGCAATCGATTGTATTCATGAGTGTGATTGTTTGTATATTATATTTGTATTTAGTAAAAAAAAATTAAGTATTTATATCAGTTATCCCATAGCACAAGCTCTGCTTACCATGGGACTATATGACGTTGTGTTAATTGTCGAAGGGTATTTCTTATAATTATAATTTATGGTCATTTTTCATTCCAGTGTACGATCAACATCGTCTATTCGGTGAATCCTGCTATCGTCTGATGACTAAAACCGGACAGTTCATCTACATGAGAACCAGAGGCCGTCTAGACGTGGACCAAGGGTCTAGAGCTGTGACCAGTTTTGTTTGTACCAACACCGTGGTAGATGAAAAAGAAGGCCAATATCTGATTAAAATGATGAAGAAGAAATTTACACTGTTGGTAAATAACAATGAAGAACCTCCAGAAGAAGAAGAGATTAAAGATGTGAGTAAATTGTTTCTTTATACCTTCACTATATGTGCGCCCGAACGCTCTACACCGGTGCCCCCGGTCGCCCCTTCGATCGATCCCCCGTCCAATTGAAATGGGGATCGAAATTACGAATGCCAGAGCTGAGGCTCGAACCCCTAGCGGTGCCCTCAGACTAAAGTCGTGAACGGCAGGTGGGAGTTGGCCTTCAGCCACTCTGTAAGTCGTTCCTTGGTTGGTAGTCCCATCTGCATTCGCCCTCTATCGTCTCTATGAAGCAGTAAAGGCCAGCTGCGGCCAACAGCATTAGAGTAGTCCGAAAACAAAATCCTTCACTACTATTCTGATACCCTATCAGTCCATAGTCGATGTCTTAACAAGGGTACACTTTGCTGAGTATATTGAATATAACAGGAGACGAGCCTGTCGCCGTCAATCAGATTAATTGGTTTACTATTGGTGTTCTCATGACTATGAGAGTTAATTAAATTTAACTATTTGATATTATTTAATTCAATTAAATTGAATTAAATTGACTTGTGAGATATTTTGGTGTTTTTATATGAATATTTTAATTTATTTGAATGATTTCAGATCGTAGAAATGCTCGATTTTTAATTACTTTTTCACATTTCATATTTCAGACGAATGACAGTCAAGTCGTCCCTGTAGAGGATCCCAGGCAGTTGGAGAAAGTCATACTGCATCTTGTGACCAATTTACCGTCTCCAGATATAGACGACATTCCGCCCAGTATTTCACCGGAACGTTTTGACTCGCCGTCCTTCCGTTTATCCATCATACCACCAAGGAAAGAGAGGATTGTGAAGGCCATAGAGAAAATATACAGCATTATATCGCCGTTGCCGAAGAGCCGAAGCAGCACATACAGTTATGAAGATACAAACGAAGCTAGTACCTCATTTTGTAGTACAGTAACTGATGTAATGCCGACTCCTCAATTGGAACCTGACGATGTGCTGCCACCACTTACAATGATCGCCACTTCATCGAACCAAGATATAACAGAGACTAGGTTACCGAACTTCAGCAACATATACTATCGTCACCCGACTGACATGATTTCCAATGATAATAATTACTACAACACTGCAGAAACCGAAATAGACTCATTGACACACAACATAACAAACCCAACTGGTCATTACAGCGGTACAGCTTCAATAACGTTTACCAATGTTGGTTCAAATAACCAATCGGATTATTCAGGGAATGCCAACGGATCAGGCATCAGGTACCAAGTGTACGTTGCTCCGCCAGATGACATAAACCAATATCAATCAGGCACGAACGTATCAGAGATTGCTACACAACCTGGTGTGAAGCGTTCTAGCGATGGTAGAGATCAAGAAACCGTGTCGAGGAAGAAAGTCGCTGCCAGGAAACCGGAGTTTACTGAACAGAACTATGACCCAGAGCCTCCCATGTTCGATAACTTCTTCGATGATGACCGTAAGTATATTTTAAAGCCAGTTCGTTCGATTATTATGGAGTGCAACTGTAGAAATATATTATGTTTTATTTACAGTTCTGAATACATCGTTTTCTCAAATCGACTCAGCCATCGACTCGCTTGAGCCTTCTATAATTGATCCGTCATTCCCAGAATTACTGGTAAGTTGTTGTATACTTTTATGGAAATAGGAATATATACGAATATAGTATGTTTTTCATGTAACTAAAATGCCAAAAAGCGTTTGATTCACATTATATAAAAAGATAACTGTTGCCGATGGAAATAGTAAATGACATGAACAACCCTGCGGAGGTCACAAAGTATGATGTGACGCCTTTAGAAATTTATGTGTTACCATTAATTATGCCATGCCATGAGTAATAAGTACTTTATACTGAATAACACAGTGTTCAAAGCAAACTGATAGAGTAAGAATTTTAATAGTCATATTTTTATGTTCTACTCATGAGTGATGATAAAGTAAATAGAAATTATCTTTATTTAAATAAACGTAAAGTAAGCACTTTTAATAGTCATATTTTTTTATTCTACTCATGAGTGATGATAGAGTAAATGGAAATAATATTTATTCAAATAATCGTAAAGCAAGTACTATTAATAGTCACATTTTTTTTATTCTATTACTCATTCGGAACGCAGAATCATCAGAAGGAGAATGTACTAGAAACTTGTGTTTTTTTTTTTAATAAAAACAGAAATAATTGAGACACTGCAGATGACTTTACATAGTCTTTATATACATTACTGTGCTTCTTAGTAATATTTATTGTCATAATAATTTACAGATCTCCACCGAAGTTCAAGAAATTCTTCGAGAAATCGACCATCCCGAAGAATCTCGTCGCAACAACTAAAAATGGGAATTATTGAATAACTGTCATCGACTTCAAATAAGGAGATATTCTAAATAACGTAAATCTCCAAAAGGTATGTTAAAATTGTTTAAAAGCAACATTATATTTGATTATCAAAATCTCCTAAAATTGTTTAAAAACAGTGGCTTTATACTGTGTAAGATTTATAAAATATAAATTCCTTAATTACATAATACATCTATAATTAGACCTAGTTTCGTTTTGCTATTATTTACCAATACAATAAATTTCATCTACCAATCATAAAGTTAAAAAGCCACAATACTAACAATCAAACGGTAGGAGTCGATGCACTGATTTTTAATAAAGTTAAACAGATTTATCTAAATTACGGGTTCTCGTAGTCATTTTTTTATTGAGTTGTTTTACGGCCTTGGAAATTCCCTTTCAGCCATTATTATCTACAGAGCTGTAGCCTGTAAAATTTTAATGTCATGTCATATGTTGACATTTGGTAGTTTTTAATGTTTTATTGATGTAATTATTACTAATTAATATATGCTTGTATGATATTCATATTTAATCATACGTATTGTTCTATGATAAGGGGTATTCTTTAGATTATAATTATTACATTATCAAATATACTGAAAATTGTTTGTTGTAAATATATTTTTGGAATTGAATAGTTATATAAACCGTATTGATTCAACAAAATTATTATCTTAATCTGTATTAAAGATTGACCTCTCTAGAAATCAGTATATTTAATAGTGTAATACACCACTAAATCAGGATCGAATCTATTAAGACTAGATCCTATTGAAGTTAAAGATTAAGTCTTGTAAATTATTTTCGTAATTTAATTTAGATACTAAAATTATTTTATAATATAACTAGAGCAGAGACTAGATACGATGTAGCTATGATAATTTTATCCTATAATATAATATATTTTTATAGGATAAAATTATCTATCTAATTATCTATATAGCTATTTCATGCGGAATTAAAACATACAAATCCATATTCACTGTTAATATTTTGTAACTATCTGTTAAATTCATAAAATAACAATACAGGATATTTAAAAAATCAGTTGTCCTTTTATAACTTTAAAAATCCAACCATCAGTCTTTACTTTAGTTATGTTATAAAAAAATGAAATACTAATGCTGCTTTTGCAAGTATACGATGTATATATCCATTGTATGATATTGTGTTATCAATCTCTAATCTAAAGTTAGAATATTATTATTCGATTTAATTTTTTTTTTATTTCATTATAGTTTATTTACTTGTCTAGTTTTCTGATTGTTCTGTATCTATTGTACTAAAATAACAAGCTTTCATTTTGATCTTTATTAGGAATTACAGAATGTCTAGATTATATATTTCTCATATAAAACGTAAGACTGAGTATTTTTAATGTTTGGGTTTATTTGTTTAGTCAGTGTTTTTCAAACTGTGAGATGTGGGAAAAGCAAATGTTTCTAAATAATCAAAAGTACTTGCTTCTAAAGCTCTCACGGTTTATATTTTATCGAATTAGGGGTTATTTTGCGGCAATCCAATTCATTACTTAGTGGATTATATTATTTGATTTAATTCCATTACCTGAATACTTGTGGTCTCACTCATGCTAATGGTAGCGGAATTAAACAAAGTGATATAAATCCAGAGTAACCGTGACTGCTTCGTTGTAGATTATTTTAAACATTAGAAATATGGTTTTCCGAATTACCTACTAATATTTTATTCTTTTATTACTCTTACTGAAGAGTCCTTAGATTGTTATGAGTTTGCTTCTTCGAAGAGACTGAGAAACGATGATTTAATTGTCTAATAATAACTGTATACTTCAGCATTTTGTAGATAAATATCGTTTCGATAAAATTCTGCTTGCTTATAATACATATAAGTACTCCATATAGGGTAACATTTGTATGTTTTGCTTCTTTTTTCTGAACGTACATAGTAATTATTCCCCATCAGTTGCGAGATGACCAAAGAGGAAAAGAGATCATATGCAAAATTGAGATGCTATTTTATTTATAGTTAGAAATAAAACTTGTACATAAAATAATTTTAGTCATTCGATTCGATATGGTTTAATAATTTTTTATTAGATATTCTTGCTTAAGAATTACTATTAATAGTACTATATAAACCTCTATTTAGTCTGGTACAATCAAATTACGATATAATCATTTCTTTGTAGAATCAGTGTATAACGGGCGTACGCGGCGCATTACCTAACAATGTTCCATGTTGCTAACAATTTTTATTACAAACAGATTAACTTATACTAATTTGAAATTTAGTACGTATCAGTCTCACAATTGCAATTGTAAACAACTTTGCATATACTACTCTCAAATTGTAGATAGGTAGAAAATAATCGTGTTTTTTTAATGATTAGATGTCAGTATAATACCGGCGCTCGCGGCGATCTGTCTAACGTTATTCCCTGTTGCTCACAATTTTGATTATGAACGTATTAAATTATCGCGTTTTGCAATTTTTTACGGGTCAGTACCACAATTACAATCGCAAACCGAGCAACTTTGCGTATCTTAAACTCTTAAATGGTAGACAGGTATGAAATAATCATGTTTTTATAATCGTTAGATGTCGGTATACTATCGGTGCGCGCGGCAGACTATCTAACAATACAATAAGACCCAACTTAACGCGGTAAATACGTTCCAATAAGTTCCAGCACTAAACGAAACGTCGTTAAATCTTTATTTCTTTTCTTCGGAATGGCTACTATCAATATGTTTGCTTTCTTCTTGCTCAATTAATTCCTTGAGCTCATTAGAAAGACTAGATACTGTTTCTTGAACTATTTCTTTGACGTCTTTCCATTATATTCCGAATCCCTGGGTTGACATAAAGGAGCGCTAAACCGAAACAACGTTAAGCGGGGTCTTATATTGTACATTGCATAACAGTTTTTTCCATTTCGACCTATAACTTTTTCCCCTATTTGTTTCAATAACTGTTATTACGAATAATAAATAGTTTATAGTACCCATATACTCAATATGAATTATGAGTACATATTGAGTATATACTTTAGCGGTACCTACACATATTTTAAAAAGTTGTCAAATCCCATAAATTTTTTTTTCTATAATTCTATACTTTAACTTTCTAATTCTTTTAATTGAGTATGTAAGACGTTAGCTTTTATAAATTAAAAAGATTTGTGTTTTGTAGTAATATATAGTTTCTGTAAATATAAAGTAGTATCGGTTATTATTTAATTTTAATTGAAAATCTTGGAATTGTAATATTATGCTTTGTTCTGTGCCATCTCAATTGTGCTGGGATACCAGCCATGCCATTAGTTCTTTCTCATTTGGATGCCATATTTTTTTAATCATATTATATTGGTCACTTAAATTCTAAAAATTTTCAAGAATCATTAATGATTAATAATACAGAAATAATCAAAATATACGAAAATAAAGTGCCAATAATTATTTTAGTTATTAATCTTTATATTGCTTAGATATTACATAAAAATCCGTTTACGGTTCTACCAGTATATATACTAGTGATACATTTTTACCATACGGCCTGTGGTGGTTATATGAACAGTACCACGAAAATCATGATGACATGTGATGCCCATATCACTCAAGCGTTACTATTTCGGAAAACTAAAATATCATGCCTCTTATCAAATTCAAAATGTCTTGATTCATATAGATCTATTACAAACGCTTATGATATGTCAAATCTACCGTCAGTTCGGATAAAAGAAGAACTGACAAGAAACTCAGCACGTATTCTTCTCAAATAAACGTCGGACATGTTTACAATATGTTTATTCAAATTTGTGAATACAGTGGCCACTAGCATATGCTATTGCAAAAGCAAATAGTGTGGTCATCGTATATCCTGTTATTTCACAACCTAATTGAGATTCAACCCACAACAAAACACAGCTTACTGTTTTGTAACAACTGTTTAAAGTCGTCTCCATGGGTATCTACGTCCCATCTATTTTGCACCCTAAGCAGCTTACTTTGTAAAGCGTCTTTTGAATGACAATTAAATTACATAGTTGGCAAGACACTTTAGTCGTTCGAAGTGGAACGTGATGTCTTGATATCCATTGTGCTCTTCATGTGTATAGATCTCGGTTTCCATTTACACCATAAGACGGGCTGGCAGAATATTTTCCAATCGTGTTACATATACTAAAATAACCGTTACCTCTAATAATAAATAGCCTGTATCTAAATACGTACAAAGATTATTTCTATAAATATTTGTAGAACCGTTTAACACAAAAAAAGTAGCGAATATTTTACGAGAAGCTATTTTGACTGAATAAAGTTTGTCGTTGTATTGTGTACATGTGTATTGGATAAAAGATTGTATGTGTCTATTGTAGTGTTTAATAAGTAGAGATACTTACGTGTTCTATTTTTTATATGTAGTGTTTACTTCTTAAATGAGAATTTTATATTATTATAACTAAGCTGACCAGCTGAACTTCCTCTGCGTCACATTTTCGCTGTTTTTGCATCATTTTCATTGCAGCTCCGCTCCTATTGGTCATAGCGTGATGTTGTAACCTATATATAGCCTTCGTCGATAATTAGGCTACCCAACACAAAGCATTTTCTAAATCGTATCAGAAGTACCGGATATTTTAGAAATAAAAAAAATATCTCTATATTTTATCCGTATAGATTTTACAGCGATCTATAATTAGATAACTAACGCTAATTCTACTTTCTTTACATTAATGTTGTTTTTTTATTTTCTAAATGCTACTTTTTAATAAATTGATGTGTATCCTCTATTTCTTTATTAGTAAGGTTGAAATATATTATAATTACTTTCCCGGGGTTTTTAATTCTTATTCTTAAATATTACTAATTTTGTTAACTAAGTACTTTCTAATTTTAATTTCTTGTGTACGTTTTCTTGTAAGGATTACTCTGTCTTTCATCCTCTTTTTTAAGTGTATGGTAATACTAGATTTCCTGTGTTTTTAGATGTTCTTATTATAAAATGACTTATTACGTTATCTAAATAC